ACAGTGAACCGAGATTGGGCCACTGCACTCCAGCCTGGGCAACAGAGCAAGACTCTGTCTCAAGAAGAAGAAGAAGAAGAAAGACCAGTTTCACTGCAACCTTGCCAACGTGGAATATTATCACTTTTTAAAAAAACGTTGGCAAATTTGCTAGGTCAAAACCAAACCAAAATAACCTAGTGCTACCTATTACATGCCTGCCCCCAACACAGACATCTGTGTGTTCGAGACATCCTGCACTGCTCAAGACCATCCTACTGTGACACATGGTCAGGTCTACCTCGGGCCCCGGGCTCAGTGCACTCACCATTTCTCTGCTTCTCTCCTGGCCTGCCCCGGGGCGGAGTTAGTTCCTGTCTCCTCCATGTTCCAGGCACCCCTGAGAGTATCCACATCTGGTTGGCTATCTGTCTCTCCTGTTAGCCCAAGGGGCTCCTTGAGGACAGGATTGTGAAATCTATATTGGACTTGCCCCAGTATGTTATGATGCCCAGAACAGTATTTCTTAGGCTTGTGGTCTATGGACCTCCTGTACTGGAGCCACCTGGAAAGGCTGCTTAACACGAATGTCCAGGCTGCATTCTAGACCTACAGTATGTGTGCTGGGAATTTACATCTTTTTGTTTGTTTGTTTGTTTGAGATGGAGTCTGGCTCTGTTGCCCAGGCTGGAGTGCAGTGGCACGATCTTAGCTCAGTTGCAACCTCTGCCTCCTGGGCTCAAGCAATTCTTCTGCCTCAGCCTCCAGAGTAGCTGAGATTACAGGCACATGCCACCACATCAGGCTAATTTTTGTATTTTTAGTAGAGATGGGGTTTCACCATGTTGGCCAGGCAGGTCTCAAACTCCTGACTTCAACTGATCCACCCACTTCAGCCTTCCAAAGTGCTGAGATTACAGGCATGAGCCACCGCACCTGGCCAGAATCTCCATCTTTGGCATTCTAGCCAGGTGATCCTAGTGCCCACAGAAGCCTGAGGGCACGTGACCCTGAGCTGGGTAGGTCTCAACAAGCAATTACTGAGTGGAAAATCCCCAGGTTGCGGCTCTGACCACTTCCTCCTCAGAGGTCATGGAGCAAAGGGCACCTGCAGTGTGTGTGCGTGGGTGGTGGTTGTGGGGGGAGTTGGGAGGGTGACATAAGAATTTTCTCTTCCAAAAGAGGGGTGGGGAGCATAGGGCTGGGGTGGGGTATCCGGACTATACTCTGCAAGAGGGATGACAGCTTCCTGAGTCAACGGAAACTTGGGAGCAAGAAAGCTGCAGTGGAGGCTGCCGGCAGTACAGGATGCAGGGAGAACCCAGGCCTGGGGTTGAGGCTGGGAGACGCAATTCCAGCTTTACTGTGTGAGTTTAGGTAAGTCATGTTCCTTCTCAGTTGCCCCGTCTGTGAAGGGTCAGGGCTGGAACAGATGCTCTCTTCAGTCCTCCTGAGCTGCAGGGCAGCCCTTCTCCTAAGAAGTCTGGAAATACAGCCCCTATACCCAGGTGACACTCACAACTCTGGGGCCCAGATCCTTGCTGTCAAGCAGCCCAGAGCCCTGCCGTAGATTCAACCTGAAGCAAACCTGAGATAGTAGGACACAGCTGTGAAAGCAGACACAGTCGAGGTAGAATGAGAAGACAGGGGTCCAGAGCCGTGGAGAGTCACACGAGCTGAGATTAGGGCTCGTGAGATGCTCTAGAGTATGCTCTCCTTTTAGAGGGTAAACTGATACATTGGAAGATGTCCCAAAGAAACCGACAGGATGTAGGAGGTGACTCAAAACCAAATTATTGGAGGGGCTGTTAACAGAACAAGGGTTGGTCAGCCTTGAGAACAGGCAGGAAGACCTGACTACTGTCTTCAAATCTCAGCAGGACTGTCACGGGTAGAAACTGCTGGTGTGTCATCTACAGCCTTGGAGGACAGAATTGTGGTTAGGCACGAGGAGGTTCCAGAAGTTTCAGTTCAGTATGAAGAAAACTTTCAGAACCATCACAAACAGGTAGGCTGCCTCACTGGAGGATGGGGCATGGTGGCGGAAGTGAGCACTCCATCCCTAGAAGCAGGCAAGAAGAGGTTGGAGAGTCCAACTTCATGCTGGAGATTGGACTAAGTGATCTTTGAGAACCCTGAACTCTAACAGTCTGTAATTCTAAAAAGCATCACTGATGTTCGGCAGGTGAAGGCCTCTGGGAAGCATAAAGAATTTATCTACTACAGGTGGTATGTAAAGACCACCAGCATTAATGGCACCTCAGGGAGCTCTGTTGAATGCTATTCAGGGAGCAGTATTTTGGGGTTAATGAGTGTAGTCACATACTCAAGCCTTTGGAATAGACTCCTAAACTTCCTTCAAATTCTGAGCCTCGTCAGGCAAGAGTGAATTAGGCAGAAGCAACTTGGATAGAAGCCGCCCAGCTATTCCCTACCTTGGGAATCCTAGTAGGATGGAAGGCAAGAGTAGCCCCAAGGGAGGTTCAGCCTGTCCTGCAGACACTTGAGCTAGCCCTCTTTGGGAACCATCACTCCATTTTGTTTGTCAGCCTTCAAGGCTTGTGTATTTCAGATTAAGTGCTTTGTGTCCTCATTGTTCCTGCTTAACTTAGAGAATTTAGTAATTAAAGAAGACCCGGTTCACCCAGCTCCTCCTTGTCCCATACATCACAGCCCTGGCTTCCTCTGGCGTGTAGTTCTATCACACCTATCCTGGCTGAGGAAGGTTTACTTGGACCCAGAGCAGGATTGGAAGGGCCCCAGGGGGCAGCTGACTCCAATCCCCACCTCCTTTTACCAGATGGAAAAGCTGAGGCCCAGAGGAGAGTGGGCAGATGCCTTGTCAGAAGCTGCAAAGCAGGGAAGCAGAGCCCTGGGGAGAATCCAGACTCACAGCTGAGGTTGGAGTCCTTTCCAGCCCCCTGATGCCAGGGCCAGCTTTATCTGAGTAGCTAAGCCTGTAGGAGAGAGGTGATTCTGAGTCTCAAGGGGCTCTGGTCACACCCTCCTCAGTATCAGAGCTGCCTTTCCGGTATCTGACCCAGTACCACTAGTTTTGGGATCTAAGTAACCACAGTCAGAGCCCATTGGCCAAGGGTAGAGGCAGGAAGGAGGTGGGGGTGGAGGCCCAAGGGGCCCCACTCCAGGGCCTTCGGGGAGGAAGGGCGGGGCCTAAATGTTCAGGGCTGTTGAGAAATGTTAGTGTTCACACGCGAATTACAGAAGCTCTCAGAAGGAAGAACACCATAAATACAGGCCTCAGTCTCCCCATCTCTAAGATGGGCAGAGATATTCTGCCAAAGTAATGCCTGAATTTGATTTCATTGAAAATCAAACACTGGCAGGGACATTAAAGATTTAATTCATCCCCTTCATATCATACAGTGTGTGGTCAACATTTCCTCACTGGCTGGAGGACAGTCCAGTGTGACTGTACAACCAACTTAAGGTTAGACGTGCCAGGCTGCACTACTCAGCTGCACCGGGGGCATAGTCTACGCTCTGAGCGCCCGCAGGACCCCCAGAGCACACAAGTCAGGGGCGGATGTGGTCTCCACTGCTGCTGTCTGACCGATTGATGCGGTGTCTCAGGGGAGGAAAGGACCACTTCCTTCTTAAGCACCCCTGCACCTGCTGAGCCAGACCACAGCAGACAAGCGTCAGAAAGGCCTTGAGTGCAAGGCCTCACTTCGCAGACAGTGACACTGAGGCCTAGAGAAAGCCTTTCTAATACACCTGTCATTTATTTTCTTCCTCCCTAGAGCTCCCATTTTCTTGTTCCGTATCAGCTTCCCAGGGTGTCTGCTAGTTCTGGTTGCCTCAGAGGGCCTGGAGCTGGCAAAAACACTAGACATTATTTCTAGCATTTGGGTCAGCCTGGCAGGCAGGACCCTGAAGGAGCTGGACAGAAAATGGTGTCAGTAGCTGGATGGGGGTGGGGGAAGAGACAGGCTAAGGGCCCAGATACCTGTCTCCCAGTCTGATGGCAAATTGGGAGTCCAGAGCCAAGGTCCTAGCTTGTCATCTGCTTGCTGTGCGACCTCAGGTGGGCACCCTTCCTTTTCTGTGCTTCTGTTCCCTCCCCTGCATGGCATGGAATTGTGCAATGGGATATGTAAGAGCCCTTCTGGTTTTGACATGCTGTGGATGGGGAAGAAGGGGCACAGTGAGGTCATCTTGCTATCTCATCTTCTGTCGA